TTTTCTGTTATCTTACTAAGCCAAGATTACGTACTCAAGGGCCTGTTTGTCGTAAACAGCAAGGAGTGTGACCTTGCCTATTTACCGGCAGAGGACAGGGTCTGGAATTTGAGGTTGTTAGGGCTTTTTGGATAGTATTTCTAAACTTTTAGCTTCCTGTAGTCATTGGAGAGTTAGGCTGTATTTTTCCATTGTTACACTACCACAGGCAGGCCTTATTAGGATGAAGCGTGACAGGAACCTTGGCGGATTCCATGGCAGAAGAGGGTGACCGAGGCGGGGAACAAACACACCAGGAAGACAGAGCTTAAATGAGAAGTTTTATTAGAAAGGGGTGGGAAGGGAAGGAAAGAGAAAAGAGGTAAAGAGACACAGAGGGCAGAGGAGGAGAGGGAGACAGGAAAAGTCCTGTCTGCCCCCGGGTACCAGCAGGACAGAGACGGAAAAGGATCTATCTTTTAAAGGGCCCTTTGCACCTGCGTGCACACTAGTAGTCATGGAACCCTGGGCTGACCAGGGTTCGCCTGAGTGCATTCTGCCAGGTGACAGGGACAGGCCAGCATAATGCCTGACTCCTTACATGCCCGGTCCCCACAGAGGTCAGGGGCACTGGATCCCCTGGAACTGGAGTTCTGGATGGTTGTGAGCCACCCTGTGGGTGCTGAGAGGCAAACCCAGGACCTCTGAAAAAGCAAGTGCTCTTAGCTACTGAGCCATTTCCCCAGCTCCAAGTTTACTTTTCTCACTAGCGTCCTTCACGCGCTCAAGGTCACTTCCAGGGTGCCACATTATATGTAGTTACCAGACTCCTTAGTCACCTCTGGCTTGGGGTAGCTTTTCAGTACTTCTAAAAAATGTCTTCAACCAGGCTTCTCTGGGACATTCGTTATCATTAGCCCTGGGTTATTTATGACTTTACTGCATTGCGCCAAGGCTCCTCCATGTATCACAGAGATATCACTGATGTTAGTGTCTGGGTAGCATTTGCCAGGTCTTTCCATAAAAGTTACTGATGTCCCTTCCCATACTCTTCATCCTTAGAGGGAAGTCACCAAGTTGTGCCTACAAGCAAAGGGAAAGGAACACGATAAGCACTGCTTCCTGGAGTGGTCTAAATGACAACTGTTCCCCAGCTGATGGCACGGTTTAGAGGAATAGTATGGGACTTTGCTGGAGGAAGCACGCTGACTCGGGACCTACTCTGAGGGTTTGTAGCCTTGCCCTTCTTCCTGTTAGCTCTCTGGACTTCCTGAAATGTCTGCGTCTGCTTCCTGATCCAGCAGCCTGCTGGTATGCCCTCCCTGCCATCATGGACTCTCCCATTGGACCTATAAGCCCAAACAAACAACAAAAACACACCAATACAAGGTTTCTCTTTGGGTTTGGAGGCAGTCCTGGAATTAGCACTTGTAGACCAGGCTGTCTCAAAATTTACAGAGATCTGCCTGCCTCTGCCTCCCGAAGGCTGGGATTACAGGTGTGCAACACCATGCCCGGCTTCCAATTTTTCCTGAAAGTCACTTATATCACAAGAACTAACACACTCCCTAAAGGGTGAAGTAGCCACAAGAATTATTTAAAATTCTTCTGTAAAGATTTATCTGTTCTCCCATAGTTATTTACTCAGTCTTTATCTACATCAGCATCAACTCACAGGTATTTACTTTGGGTTAGAACTAGCACTGTGATGTTTGCTCTGTAGCTGGTGCTGTGAGGAGGCCCTTCCGGGATGACCTCTGACTGTTGACATGCTACCTTCCTTTCATTTCTTTAAGCACTTCTTTTTTAAACAGAAGAAATTCCCCTTCAGGTCCTACCATGTCAACTTTGCATTTCAGTGCCTTTGTGTTTTTGAAACACAGCTGTTTAAAAGAGCATATGTGCTTTTAGTATTTTTCAACTTCATAAATATAAACCTTTTTAATTTTCTCCCTCATGTGGAATTCACCAGATGTATGCAGAGGACTTAAAAGAAAAGCTGTCCAAGGGCTGGAGAGGCGGCTCAGCAGGTAAGAAGACTTGTTTCTTCCCTGCATCCATATAGCAGCAAATAATCACAAGTAACCCCCACTGCAGAGTTACACGATTCTCTCCTGGCTTCTGCAAGCGTGGGGCACACCCATGCACATAAGCAAGCTCTGAAAATATTTTTAAAGAAGTGCTTGGGAGTCAGACTATGTCCCACTCCTCCAGGCACTCAAGGAACCTTAAGCTTCCTGCCTGTAAAATGGAAACTGTGTTTTGGACATGATCCTGTGAGAAGTTAACAAGATAACACAGAACAGATTAAGATCAAGGACTGTGAGGGCTGCAGAAATGATGATTCAACCACTAAGAGCACACTGCTCCTGCAGAGGACCCAGGTTCAGTTTCTGTGGCTCCAGTCTGGGGGCGGGGGGTCCATCACTCTCTTTTCTGGCCTCCACACGAGCTGCACAAATATGATGCACATACATACTTGCAGGCAAAGCTCTCATAAGATAAAAATAAACTTTTATGCAACACAAAGATCAAGGATGTAAATCCTGGCCTGTTGCTTTGATAAAGGAGACTAGGGGGACACTCAGCAGGTGTTAAACATCGTTAAAGTGCTGGTGAAATCAGTCAATGGGTTTTTTCATTGTGAGCACTTGCACTGATGGGCAATTTGACTCCTTGATCACCAATTGCCGGTCTCACCCTTGCTGTCATGGCTGCTTTGAGCTAAAGGACTGTCAAACAGCCAGTCAGACTAGCCTTATGACAACATCACTGTTTTGAACATTCCATGGACACCTTGAAAAACACTACACAATTGCAGTCGAGTGTTCCAGCTCCTGAAGGTGTAGTCTCAGCCAGGACTGGTTCAGCTTCTACCAGATGGCTGCTAACACAACCTCAGTGAACCCTAGATAACCCAGCAATCATTTTCAGGAAGGACAGGTCCTCTGATGGCTCAGCAGCGACTGCCACGGTTAGTGTTACAAGAGCGATGCTGTGATTGATGCAAACACAATGGTTTTCTGAAACTGGCACAAACACCCTTCCCCTGCCTTTGTAGCCAGGCTGTTGAGCTCAGTTGCTGAGTCATTAGGAGATACCATAGGTGCTGCTTCCCCAGTGGAGATTCTCGAGTACCCTTTTCTTGCCTCTTTTTGGCAGCTGTGGGGCTAGGAGGATAGTACAGAGAGAGGAGCGTGGCAGCAACAGCAGACAGTGGCGTGGCAGGCAAAGCCAGAAACATGGCAGTGTCTGGCTGCTTCCATAGCTGAATAGGCAGGGATGGACAAAAGACGGTAAAGAACGAATCAGAAAAGAATTGCAGGCCTTGCCACGGGAGGATCCAGAGAGCTTGTTTGTGTGGTTTTACAAAAGTCTCAGACACCCTGAGGCCTGTGAGCTTTAACGCTGGCCTCTGCCGAGGCCTAAGGAATCGGAACTTCCTAGGTTACACAGCCGCTGTACCACTTTAGAGGCCTACACCGACAGTTAGTAGGTTAGAGCAGAGGGTCTGGCTACTAGAGGCTCGCAGAACAGAACTGTTAAGAAGGTTAAGGGTCCAGCAATAGGGGCACCATCTGCCTTTCCCACCCGTGTGTTGGCACCAGTCAGACACCATGGGAGATCAAAGCTGTCAAAGGCCAGCACTTAAAGGTCTCTGTCTACCCATGGTTTCTACTCAGAATAAAAAGATCCAGATGGGGGGGGGGTGTTTGTCACATTACTACTTGTAAACCCTAGACAAGTTATTTATCTTTGCCTCAACTCATTCACTAATGGGAGGTGGGGAGAGGACATAGGTTCTTAAAACATACATTCTTCAGCTGGTATTTAGTCCCTGGCCAACGACATGTCCAATGTCTGGGCAGGACCTATCCTGTAGTTTTTTTGTTTGTTTGTTTTGTTTCTTGAGACAGGGTTTCTCTGTGGCTTTGGAGGCTGGCCTTGAACTCAGAGATCTGCCTGCCTCTGTCTCCCTAGCGCTGGGAGTAAAGGAGTGTGCCACCAACACCTGGCTTATCCTGTTCTGTTTACTTCCTCAGCTCAGGGTCTCATGTACAGGAGAGGTGCAGCATTCATTAACACTGCCGTGTGTACATAACAAAATGTTCATTAACACTGCCTTGTGTACATAACAAAATGTTCATTAACACTACTGTGTCTACATAACAAAATGTAGCATTTCTCACAACTGAGACAGTGAATGAGTGACCTGTAGGACCGTGCCTGATGAGTCCTAAACCACCACCCAAGGGCAGAATCACAGCTTCTCAGAGTCCACACGCCAGTCTGGAGTGGGAGAACTTAAGGGAACTGATCATGTGTCCTAATTCAGAGTAATCTATTACACTCTAATGCACGGAAGATGACATGCATGTATGGTGGCTGAGTCTGGCCCTGCTTCTTGTGAAGCCGAAGTAGCTCCCTCCCTTAGCACTGTTTCTTCCCTGGCACTGGAGAGAACACCATGCAAGAAAGAGAAAGGTCTCATTACTACTTGTTTCATCTTGGGCATGTGTCCATCTCGGTAGGCGTGAACTGAGTTTCCCAATGTACAGAATTTTGTCTTTGGAGGCAGTGGCTCACTATGTAGTTTGGGCTGGCCTTGAAAGGCCAATCTTCTTGTCTCTGCCCCTACATGTTAAATGCTGGGATTACAGGTGCACACCACCGTGCCTGGCATGTTTTACAAGATTTTTAAAATTGGAAAAATAGATAAAACCTTAACTCTTACTCTTATCTTTCCTTTCTCTCTCCAAATTCAGTAGTGATGTAGCTGGGCCTACTATTTGCTATAATCTGTGTACAGTCTGATTACTATTTTTTTTTTTTTTTAAACTGGGTGTCTGTGGCACATGCCTTTAATCCCAGTACTGAGGAGGCAGACAAAGGAAGATCTGAGTTTGAGGCCAGCCTGGTCTACAGAGTGAGTTCCAGGACAGCCAGGGCTACACAGAAAAACCCTGTCTTGGGGGAAATATATTTCAGAATCCCAAAGTATAGAAAGATAAAACCTGACATTTTATTATTGGCATTTCTTTATTTATTTAGTTTTGTAACACCAAGAAAATGACATTTAGAACCACTTTTCTGACAACACATCAGATACATCACAAACCTAAAGATAGCTGTTGTAGACTTCACCTCAGCATTCAATTGTGCTTTCTGATTGCACACAATAACTGATATATAATATATATTAAAAAAAAACATGAATACCTTAGCCAGCCTTGGCTCAGGGTCTTCACCATAAATGTGGGCAACACTTGAAAACTATTGATAAGTGATAGCATGGTCACACATGACTATTACACATGCAAGTGAACTTAGTCTGGCCTCCTGACACACTGCACTAGTAGAATGCCTGCTCTTCTGATTTAAATAATTACCAGTGCAGAATGACTTTGTTCATGTCAGTAATAAATACATTGGGGAGACATTCAATAGGCTGAACACAACAAAGGATAAGTTACTTTAGCAGCACAAGTGGGAACGGGCGACCACGGAAAGGAATTCCTCCATCATGTTCTGCTCATCGTGACATACTTGCTGGTCTTGGCTCAAGTGAAGTACCCTTCTAACTCGGCCCGAAGAAGGACCTCTTCCTCCTCGTCTGCTGCCTCCTTGCCTTTTATCAGCGTCAGTAACTGAAGTAAACCTGGCGCAGGGCCACCCTCTGGCAGTCCAAGTTCTCTTCGAACTGTCTTGTGCACTGCCCCAGCAATGATTTGGTCTAGGCGGGCCTGGTTCACTACTTCTTTCTCAATTGCTCCTTTCTGTACCAATTTCTGTAGTAAAGGCTCCAACCTTAGAACATATGCTGACAGCTTTTCACCATCCTTCTGATAAGTAGTAAGGTATTTGACCTGCAATGACCTGGGATTATCAATAATCCCGAATATTGTCTCTAGGGTCTTCAGGTACTCTGCAACTGTAATGAAAGGATTGTTTATCTTGAGGACATGAATAATTTCAAATGCTGGACCTCTAAGGCTCTCTATCAACCGCCTTCTTTTCTCTACATCCGACACCTGCCATGTTTTCATTACCTGAGAAGTATGAAACATCCAGGACTCAAATTCTTCTTCACCCGGTCCGGGAGGATCCCTGCCTGAGAATACACTCAGCTTTTTGTACCTCAGATACTGCAGGGTAGGCTTAAGAGCCTCATCTAATGCCTGTGCCAACATGGGGGCTCGCATTTCAGGGATCATGCCCTGGTCTAGGCTGAGAGCATCATTTCTATTCCCAAGAACTCGGGTCAATTCACCCATCGTCATGCCCTCCCCCTTTAAAAACTCATTTAATTTGCATAGAAACTCGTTATCAGCATCAGGAGGCTTAAAGATCACTCTCCAGACGCCCCCTTTCCCAGGTATCTCCTTGGGAACCAGAGCACTGCTAGTCTCTACCGTAAGCCCTATCAAGGCTACATTCTTGTTCTCATCCCTCCGGAACATCCTCCCAAGCAGTCTGTGCTCCCCCAGGGGAGCCAGGCCAGCCTGCAGGGCCTCCTCGATGTCTGCCACTCCACAGGTCGGAAGGATGCCGGCAACCAACAGTGCTTTCCGAGGGTTCATGTCCATCCCCCTGCACCAGTCTTCCAAGAGCCTCAGCGTCATGGTGCCAGAGTATCTAAGTCCTAATTCGCCCCGGGCGCCGCGGCCACCGGCACTCACACTGACGTGCGGGCTTGTCTCTTCAACTCGCCGAGGTCCAGGAGCCTGAGGAGACAGAGCATCCATGTCAGGTACGGGTGCGCTGCTGCAGCCGGCTCCTCCGCCCTCCCGCGCCCACGGACGACAGCGGCCCTGAGGACCAGGCGCCGTGTGAGAGGCGCCGCCCGCACCCCGGGGAAGGCGCCCGACCTCTGAGGGCGTCACACGAGACCCGGGGACACCGTGCGGGGAGCCGCCTCACCCGCGCGGGGCAGGGGAGCGCCGCCGCGCCGCCTCAGGTACCAGACAACCGCCCGTCCGGGGCGGCGCCGTGGAGGCAGCCTGACGTCACGAGAGGCGGGAGCGCGCTTCCGGCCCAAGGCGGAAGCCTCGACTGCGGCGGCATCCGGGACTGCGAGCGGGCGGGCCACTCAGGACAGGAAGGTGAGACGCGGGGCTGCTCGGCTCCGCTCGGCTGTCAGGCCGGCCCGGCGCTGCGCCGGCCGCCGCGCTCCGGGCTCTGCGGGCCAGGCCTGGCGCAGCCGGCTCAGCCCCGGCGCCTAGCGCTTGCTGCGGGGGGGCGGGCCCGCTGGCTGCGCTGAGACCCGGGCGGCCGAGCATCTCCAGGTGGCTGCCCCCGACTGGGGCTCCAGAGGGCGATGGGGCCCGCCGTCGCGTGACCAGCCGTAGTCACGCTCAGCTTAATCACTACTAGCTCGTGCTCCCGCCGGCGGCGCTCACCCTGGCCGCTCACCCTGGCCGAGCAGCACGACCCAGAGGGTTTCTCTTAAGGTGGCTCGTTCTGAAATGCCAAAGGCACCTGACTATTCAGAACTGAGTGACTCTTGCACGTTTGCTGGGGGAACAGGAAGATTTTCCGGACCACTGTAAGTGTTTTGAGTTACCGTCTTGGGGGCTTTGACATTGGTTTTAACGAGTAGAACCCAGTGTTAATGTCTCAAGTAATACGTGTTAAGTCAGAAAGCATTTCAACTGTCAAGTGCAATGTCCTGTATGGAAACTAGATACCCCATTATCTGAAACGAAGGTGTACTTGTGTGTATTCAAACAAGATGTGATGCTCATTCACTCTGTGGGGTTCACATAAATAGCAGCATTCAGTATATACTGAAACCAGTGTTTTTACGTGCTTACAATTGTTATATAAAACAACCACCTGTAAGTTGTTTACAGCTGTTGAATCTTAAACACGCTCGTGCTTTTCAGAACTCCAATTTAAATCAAGTGCACTTGAAATAGTTGCCATGGCAACACTCCTAGACCCTAACTGTAGTTTTCTGTGTTTACATTGAAGGCACAGAGCATGGAGAATGATGAACTTCCGTCAGCGGATGGGATGGATTGGAGTGGGATTGTACTTGCTGGCAAGTGCAGCAGCATTCTACTATGTTTTTGAAATCAATGAGACTTACAACAGGCTGGCTTTGGAACACATTCAGCAGCATCCTGAGGAGCCTCGGGAAGGAACCACATGGACGCACTCCTTGAAAGCTCGGTTACTTTCCCTGCCCTTTTGGTTGTGGACAGTTATTTTTCTGATACCATACTTACAGATGTTTTTGTTCCTTTATTCTTGTACAAGAGCTGATCCCAAAACAGTGGGCTACTGTATTATCCCCATATGCTTGGCGGTTCTCTGCAATCGTCACCAGGCATTTGTCAAGGCTTCCAATCAGATCAGCAGACTACAACTGATTGACACATAAAGCCAGTCACCGTTTTTTTTTTTTTTTTTTTTTTTTTTTTTTTTTTTTCGTATGATTACAAGACTGCCAGTACCATATGGAGGTCGATCACAAGACTGCAGTTTCTTCATAAATCTCAGGAAGTTGTGGTGGTACAGAGACTTAAAAAAATGTGACAAGAGGAGTACTTTATCTGAATAATAATGACTTTTTAGGTAAAGCCTGAGAAACATTACCACAGAATCATGTTAATGACTTCAGATTTTGGAAGTAAAACAATGGGTTATTTGCAATCTTTAGAAACTTGAAAAAGTACCCTGATTTTTATTTCTAGTCTATGTGCAACATAGTATGATTCAGAAATTTTTCCATTGGGGAAAACAATGAATATTTCCATTGTGTTAAGTGTTAAAAAGGTCTGGCCATGATCATAAAATTTAAATTTTATACAATTACTTGGCTTGCTTTAAAATTCTTCAGACTAAGACACTAATTCATCCTTGCTTTTGGCTTAAAATGAATGGGTATAAAATTACTGAGGTGGCTACCACCTTTCTGTTTTGTTTTGTTTTGTTTTTTTGAGGGGGCATTGAACCCAAGTCTTTTGTGTTGCTTCTGTTCACTACCTAAACCACTAATCTTTTAAAAGCTACATAGAACTGAAAGTCCTGAAGTAACACACAGCAGATGAGACTAGGTAATTCAGTCTGGTCTTGGTCAGCATCAAAGCCTTTGAAAGGCTATCATGTCCTCATCTTTCTCATTCCTTTGTAACCCAAGGTTGGGCTTTAAAGCCACTGCATGGAGAAGGGACCCTTGTACCTTCTTCTGCACTTGTAACATCTGTGTCTGCTACCAGTACAGATCTTTGCAGAGACTGTTCCTGGGTGAGACAGGGTGTGCAGTGATGATACTGAAACATTTCACACTATTTAATAACCATGGACTTCTGGGTATTTACTCCTAAGCTACAGCAACCCTATGATCTAGCAGCACTTTATTACCCATGCTTTGCAGCCGAGGAATAGGAGGCAGAGAAGCAGCTGCCATCACCTGATGCCTGTTTTTCACCGCTGACACACCAACCCATGCTCTATACATGTGACAACTATCTGTCGGTGTATACTGCCTACTGACACAAACAAAAAATGCAAATGAGTATTAGTGAACATTTTTCTCAATTTGTGCATCTGCAAGCTGTGTTCCTTGGGATCGAACTCAGGCCCTTGTATACGTTAGCCACTTTGATATAACCACAGTCCCACAGGTTCAGGAACCCCATTTTATGCTGTATTTGAGAAGAGAGGCTAGGATTTCCATGGCAAATCTTAACTTATTTTTTAAGACATTTTCCGGCTGTCCTGGAACTCAGGTTGGCCTTGAAATCAAAGATCCACTTGGGGGGGGTGAAGGGGTTAAAGGGAAGTCATGCATGCAGCACCATGTCTAGCTCAAACTTTAACTCTCTCCCTCTCCCCCACCAGAGTTTCTCTATGTAACTGTCTGGCTGTCTGTAGACCAGGCTGGCACTGAGATTTGTCTGTCTCTGCTTCCAGGAGTGCTGGGATTAAAAGCATGCACACACCTTTAGTCCTAGCACTTGGGAGGCTGTGGCAGGCAGATCTCTGAGTTCAATGACAGCCAGGGATAGCAAGAGACCCTGTCTCAAATAACCAACAAATGTGCTGAAGTAACACATCTTTTGCCATAATGTCTTCAGTGCTCCAGGGAAACAGTTTTGACTCTTTTGTGAATCAGTTGCATCTTTTGAGTGTTTAGTAGGCATGTTGCAGAAATGTTTTTAGAAGCATTCTACTTTAACTCTTCATTCCTGAGGCAGGTGTTATATTGGTATGAGTGCCATTTTACAAGGCTCTGAAGCACGCAGGATTAATGACCTGTCCACAGACATGGCAAGTAACTGGAAAAGCCATCTTAATCGGAAGAGTCACAGGAAGGACATGGTAGCACATGCCTTTAATCTAGCACTTGGGAGGCAGAGGCAGATGCATCTCTCTGAGTCTAGTGTACATAGTGAGATTCTATCGCAAAACAGCAAAAATTGGAAGAGCTAAGATCTGAACCCAGGATATCTGGCTTCAGATCCCAGTTCTGTACTTACAGAAAAATTAGTGTTTCCCTTCTTATTAGTAATGAAGTAGTAATATTTTAAAGAAAAATCTATTTGCCACAACAGGGTTTCTCTGTATAGCTCTGGCTGCCCTGGAACTCACTCTGTAGACCAGGGCCTTGAACTCAACTGCCTGGAATTAAAGGCATGTGCCTCAACACCTGGCTGATATATTAAATTTTTATAGAAATTATTTTAATTTTCAAGTAGGATTATTTATTATTTCCAAATGTAATTGTTAATATTTAGCTTACAAGGTTAATCTGCTCTTATGTAAATTATATTTACTTATCTCTGTGTGTATGTCATAGTGTATATGTGGAGGGCACATGGGTGTGTTTTCTCTGGTACTATCCATTTTGGTTTTGGAGATAGGGTCTCATTGGCCTGGAGCTCACCAAGTGGCTAGACTGGCCAGCCAGTGAGACCTAGGGATCCCAGTCTCCACTGGGACCATATAGCCTGACTCACCAACACCCTTTAAAAACAAAAACAAAAATGGAGGTTCTTACAAACAAGCAATTCTGCAAGCACTTTAGCAACAGTGCTATCATTTTATTTGCAGTCCTACCTGAAACAAAGAATCCATTGAAGGTTTTCATTGAAATGCTTTATTTCTTTTCTAAAGTGCAGGCACAGAAATAGAGAACTATAGAAATGTCTATGGCACTTTATTCACATTACACATTTTTGACTTAGGAGATATTCTAGTTTTAAAAAGTTTGTCCTTGGTGGAGCCATGATATAAAGTGCTCATACAAGTAAATCACTGCTCCTAATGACACAAACACATGTTTGTATGGCGTGGGTAGTGTCAGTCTTTTCCTAAATATTCAGCATCTCCAGTCCCTGAATTCCAGGCCGAAGCACTTTACTGTGACACTTCACTATTCATCCTTTTATCAAGTGTGCACCGCCATGCTACAAATCCTCCCACACCTGAAGTCCTAGATGACTTTGGACTGTGGGGTTGGAAAACACCATGCATCAGTATGCCTTTTGGTGTAAAGTGATGGGAAAAAAAGAAAAGCTCACATATAAATAATGTCCAGGTCCATGGAGATGTGGGCCCTAGATCATCTTGTCTTAAATACTTTTCGGATGCTTCCATTAGGGTTGAAAAGAACTGGCTCATGGTGTTTTAATGTAGCATTCACTGAAGATTCAAGTTAGAGCTGTGCTTATCTTTGGAACAGTAACAGCAAATGTTCTGTAGAAAGTTCACTGGAGTCATTTGCAAATTTTATCTACATTTTGATATCAAACCTTCTGGGTGGTTCTGGATATGAAGTTTCTGACACCTCATCCTTTTCTTTCTCCGGCTGGCTTTTAGGTCAGCACCATCATTAACGATGGATAGTCCTTTGCTGCCTACTTACTCAGGAACCATGAGCCAGGAGGAGCAGCATGAGTGGCCAGTAGCTATAGATATTAAGCAGCTCAGTTCTAAACAATTTCCTGGTTTTTCGTCTTCCTCTTTGCTGCTTGCTGCTGCTTTGATGAATTCTTTTGGGGATCTCCTCCAACTCTACATGTTGATATGCCTCAGTTCTCTTCTGAATTGACATTTCGTTCAGTCCTGTGGCTTAAGTACTCTTCTCCAGAGTTTTACTTGAATATCTGCCACCTACTTGTTTTTCTTTCTGAAGTGGAATCTCCCTAGGTTACCTTGGATGGTCTTGAACTTGATCATCTTGCTTCAACTCCCTAAGCAGCTAGGATCAGTGGCATGTATCACTACCTGGCTTAACTTCATTGTATGCCTACACTTCATTTATTTACTAGCAGGCTCATGAAATTTAATCTGTCTAAAACCAAGCTGTCAATGTCAATTTTTATCAAAACCTGTTTTTCAAGTCTAGTGTCAATTGTGCCACAAGACTGTAATCCAGCACCTGGGAAGAGGTAGGAGGGCCAGTTCAAGGACAGCCTCAGCTACAAGTCAAGTTGGAGACCCTGTCTATGGCTGAGTGTGGTGGCACACACCTCTAATCCCAGCACTCAGGAGGGAGACAGGCAGATCGTTGAGTGATGTTAGCAGATCTACAGAGTGAGTTCCAGGAAAGCCAAGGGCCACACAGAGAAACCCCATTTCAAGGAATTCCTAATCAGCACCCCATACCTTCATGTCATCTTCCACTGCTCTTTGCTCAATTCTACCCCACTGATCATCTTTTCCTTTTCTGAAGTCTCATACTATGTAATTCAGGCTGGCCTCAAACGCAGGCTCCTTCTGCCTCTGCCTCCAGAGTGCTGGGATTATAGACATGTTTCCTTGCCTGGCTCCAGTGGTCCTGATTTTTGGAACATTTTAGATATTTATCACTCAGGGCCTCTGTACTCTGTGTTTTCTTCAGACTATGGCTCAACTGTCATCTTAGTAAACTCTAACTGCCTGATTGAAATCAAATATTCTTCTCAGTTTAACATTTCCCTATAGTATTTAGCTATCCTCACAGGATCAACATTTCCTCAAAATCTTGGATTTCTGTAGGTGCTCAGTGTGTATTTATGAATGTATACTTCTCTTGTTATATTTGTAAAAACCAATCTAATTCGCTCTCCAAAAGCTAGTATCTATTATTAAGTGTGTGGCCTAATCTATCATCCGTTCCAGTTTAATCCAGCTCTTCCAGGTCTCAGCATTTAGTGATATTCTCTTCAAGGCCAAGATTTAAACTGTCCCTCAATGTATTTTTCTTTTGAGTTCTTGTGATACCAGTTGTCTTGATGTTGAGAAAAAAAACATACCCAAGGTTTTTTATGAAGTGGATGGCTAGAGACTCAATAAATTTCTGTTTCAGTTATGAAAATTATAGTTTCCTAAGCCACCCAATGTGTACAAAGTACTTTGAACTGCATACCATAATTTCAGTCCCCAGTGTTCCAGTACCAGGATCTAGAAAGCACTTGTGAACAACTACCACCTCTACCTAATCTTAGCCAGAGTAAATTTCTATTTAAAACTATATCACGTGATATCTCAATGTGAGCTGCTAGCTTTTAAGATTTAAACAGTTTATTTCTAGAATTCACTGTTTCCTGGACTACAACTTTAAATAGAGTAATTTTGATCCCAAAGGTCACTAGAGAACCAGAAAAGTTACAGTATTTTTATGACATTTTTATACTTGGAAGATAACATTATTGATTTAAAACAACTGTTTTCAAGGTTAAACCTGGACACACACACACACACACACACACACACATCAGTCTAGAACCTCTACTCTTCTTTAGTTGCTGGTACCCTACTACCCTACTCTGTACTTGGCCCAGTTCTCCTAATGTATATGGAAGTTGCAAGAAAAAATTAGATATATCCCAGAGAAGATGTTTACCTTGAAACCTAAAGGATGAGACAGAAGCAGTATGCACAGCAGCACACACCTGTAAATCCAACACAGAGGGAGAAGGGGGGGAGGTAGAGGGAGAGGGAGTGTCAGGGAGGCAAGGGCAGGCAGAACTCTGAGAGTTAAGGTCAGCCTGCTCTACAGAGAGTTCCAGGTCGGTCAGGGCTACATACAGAGAACCTGTCTGGACAAAAAGGAGGACACACCCGAGCAAGGGTGGGGTGGGGTGGGTGAGAAGTCATTTGGCCTTGCACGGAGCCCCAGGACTTCAGATCCTTTCCTTTGCCTCCCAAGTGGTAAGACTGGACATGCATCACCAAACATGCACCTATGTATGTATCCATGGTAAGGTCTTCCCTAGTGTTTTAAATGTCCTAAAACCACAGCCAAGCAAATATAACTAACCTATTAGAAAAAAGGGCCCTAGAGTTAAAATAATAAATACTATTTAGGCATTTATTTCTTTCTTCCTTTTTTCTTTTTCTTTTTCTTTCTTTTTTTTTTTTTTTATTTTGTTAAAAAATTTTGAGACAGGATTTCTCTGTATAACAATCCTGGCTGTCCTGGAACTTGCTTTGTAGACCAGACTAGCCTCAAAGTCACTAAGATATACTTGCTCTGCCTCCTAAATGCCGGGATTAAAGGAGCGTGCCAACACCTGGCCTATTTAGGCATTTTTTTTTTTTTTTTTTTTTTTTGTTTGAGACAGGCTTTCTCTGTAGCTTTGGAGCCTGTCCTGGAACTCCCTTTGTAGACCAGGCTGGCCTGGAACTCACAGAGATGTGGTTTAGGTTCTTAAAGAAATGGTATTTCTCATAAGAATTCATGAGTTCAAGGTCAGCCTGGTCTAAGAACAAGTTCCAAACTAACTGAGCTACATAGTGAGATCCTAAAAAAAGCACACAGAAGAAATGTTCTATCATATTCCCAGCCTAAAGACTATCTTCATTTTCATTTTGAGATAATGGTGCAAACCCAGGACCTTGTGCATGCTAGACAAGCAATCTACCACCGAGGTATATGACCCTAGCCTCAACTAGTACAAACAACTGTTGGCTCTGTGACCTAAGGCAGATAACTATTCTGATATTCAATTAATCTCTGAAGTAAGTCATTCTGATTTGTTACATCTAAGAGGCCCAGAATATGTCTATAATCCTAGCACCTAGGACGTGGAGACAGGAAGATCATAGGTTTGAGGACAGGCTACATTACATCAGGGAGTTCTAGATCAAATTTCACCACATGGCAAAACCTTGTCTCAAAACAACAAAAAGCCAGGCTTGGTTGCACACACTTGTGATCCCCAACACTCAGAAGAAAGATATGGCAAGTTCAAAGCCAGCTGTGCTATGGAGTGAATTCCAGGTCTAGGCCACATACACAGTTAAGACCCAGTCTCAAAACAAAATAGCTATATAATTAAAAGAATTATTCTAATTTCATTAGGTACTCATTGAATTACAACTGTCAAAACTGGGAAAGACACACTGAAATTTAAAAATCCACTCCAGTTCCACTGATAAGATTATATTTTAAAACTATGAACAGTTCATTTTGACTAAAATAATATGCCTACAGGAAATATGTAAGTTATAATAATGTATTTTATTCACTTGGGCCTCATATTTATTGTTGTATAGATGTATACATATACATCTATACACAACATATACACATCATATTGCTCTTGCCAATTCTTTCAAGTATAATTAATTGTCTAGGACTATGACAAGCAGGTTTAAAATTTTTTTTGAAGATTTATTATATATAGTGCTTTGCCTGTATGTATGCCTTCAAGCCAGAGGAGGGCATCAGATCTCATTACAGATGGGTATGAGCCACCATATGGTTGCTGGGAATTGAACTCGGGACCTCTGAATTGCAGCCAGTGCTCTTAACCACTTGAGTCATCTCTCTAGCTCTTGAACAAGAAGTTTTTTTTTGTTGTTGTTTTTTGTTTTTGAGACAGGATTTATTTGTGGCTTTGGAGTCTGTTCTGGCACTCTATAGACCAGGCTGGCCTAGAACTCAGAGATTTGCCTGCTTCTGCCCTCCAAGTGCTGGGATTAAAAGCATGTGCCACCACTACTTGGCTGACAAGCAATTTCTATACAAGCTAAAAGATGTAGTCACACCATTTGATTCAAAGGTAATTGTTTTGTTTTCAAAACAGGTTTTCACTGTGTAGCCCTGGCTGTCCTAGAACTTGCTCTGTAGAATAGGCTAGGCTGTCTTTGCCTCCCCACTGCTGAGATTAAAGTCATGCCACTACCACCCAGAGAGTCAATGGTCACTGTATTTTAATTTTTTTGTTTTGTTTTTTGAGACAGGATTTCTCAGTATTACAGTCCTGGCTGTCCTGGAACTCACTCTATAGATCATGCTGGCTTCAAACTCACTGATATCCACCTGCCTGTGCCTCCCAAGTGCCAGGATTAAAGGTGTGTGCCACCACTGCCCAGTCAGTCATTTTATCTTTTTTTATTTTTAAATCTTTCTGTTGCTGCTTTATTTTGTGTTTCATGACAGGCTTTCTCTGTGTAGCTCTAGCTGTCCTGGAACTCACTCTTTATACTAGTCTGGCCTCAAACTAAAGATTTCCTCCTGCTTCTGACTCCAGAGTGAGTGCTGGGATTAACAGATTTTTGTCACCAATCACCCGTGGTCACTTTAAAAGAGTAAACAAACATAAAATTTGTTTATCCATTATGAACGGTTCCATTACATTTTGGAATGAGAAAGCAAGACTTCATTCCCAAACATTTATTGTACTTTTCTTTGTTTAAAACAGGAAGTTTCCTTTGTGACAAACTTGTTTCAATGAGAGAAAATAAATTCCAACTAAAGCACAGGTCTTCTGCAAGTACTAGCTCGTGAAGATCATGAAATAGTGGTGCTCCGATGTCTTGATCTTTTATTTGAAGCAATGTCTTGACATACAGTGCAAGCTAGGCTCCAACTTTCAATCCTCCTGCCTCAGTCTCTGAAGTAGCTGGGATTACAAATACACAACATCTCACTCAACCTAGTAGCAGTCTTAATTTCATAAAAATTATTGCTAAGATGCTGGTTTTGGTCGTTTGGCAGATGGTCCATCTGAGCTAGTTCTGCTGCCAATGTGTTTATCATCTTCTGTATCATCTTCATCATCACCTTTTAAAATAAATGTTTGTTGTAGGACATGTTTAGTGGTTGAAAGAAATACAGATATGTAAAGTGACTGATAGGAGACCATTTCCCTCTGGAGACTAAAAAAACATCCATGCATAGCTTACATTTTATAAACTCCAGGAGCCAGTTGGATGGCTCAGTGAGTGGACTACCAGTTGGATGACCTGAGTTCAATCACTGGAACCCACGTAAGGTGGAGGTAGGAACCAACTCTACTCACGTAACATGCTACCCACATACACACAAAATAATAAATGAATTTTTAAAAACTTGTTGGGCGTGATGGCCTTTAATCTCAGCTCAAGAGGCAGAGACACACAAATCTCAGTAAATTCAAGATCAGCCTGATCTACATAGCTAAATTCCAGGATAGCCAGGGCCACATAGTGAGACCCAGTCTCAAAAACAAAACTAGTGTACACCTTTCATCACAGCAAGTGGAAATGGCAGTTGGATCTCTATGAGTTCAAGGCCAGCCTGTCTACAATTGTGAGTACCAGGATAGCTAGGGCTGTATACAGAGACCTTGTCTTAAACAACACTCACTCCCACAACCAAAAACCAAAACCAGCACCACTTTCAGGAATTAAATTTAGTCAGATTTTAAAACTTTTCTTTGCTACCTCTTATGTTTGGAGATTTAACTCATTCTCCATGAAATTCACTTCTGTACAGAAACACCTCACTCAGTAGTTTTCAGAATATTCACTTGTGATAGGTGGTGGCAAATTCCTTTAATCCCAGCATTCGGGGTCAGTGGCACACAGATCTCTGTGAGTTTGAGGCCAGCTTGGTCTAAATAGTGAATTCCAGGACAAGCCAGGACTGTTTTATAAACAGTGTCTTGGAAAACCAAAGGAGAAAAAAAGAATATTGACTTGCTCCTCTAACCATCATAGCTAATTCTGAAATATGTTAATTACTTCCAAAAGAAGCTCCATATCCACAAATAGTCACTCTCTGTTCCTCCCATTCTTGTAACTACTAATTTACTTTCTACTTCTATGAATTTTCCTATTTTGGACATCTCATATAAATGGAAACAAACATAGAATGTATAGTCATTTGTGCTCAATTTACTGTCTTAGAATTCATTAATGTTACAGAGGTCGTGAGCCACCATGTGGTTACTGGGAACTGAACTTGGGTCCTCTGGAAGAGCAGCCAGTGCTCTTAACCCCTGAGCAATCTCTCCAGCCTTAATTGTTCTTTTTAATAACAGACAATATCCATATCATAAAGAATAGGAAAGTAAACTGACTCCTTAGTTCAGGGTACTAAAATCTATTTTGTGTTCAAGATTAAAAATATATTTAACAAAGGTCAGGTGTAGTGGTGCATTTCTTTAATCCCAGCACTTGATGGGGCAAAGGCAGGCGGGTATCTGTGAATTTAAAGCCAGCCTAGTCTAATCCAAGGCCAGCCAGTGGTACACAGTGACACTGGCTATAAAATAACATTTTTTTTCCTATTAACACAGTTGGGGCTGGAGAGATCAGTGGTTAAGACCACTGCCTGCAGAGGATCTGATGACCTCTTTTGGCCTCAGAACACACTGCATGGCAGTGGTGCACACAAACATCCTAACAGTTGATTTCTACAACAGCAGAGGGGGTGAATGGAAGTAGGAGCTACAGAATGGGAATGGCCGTGGCTCCAATGCAGGGGCAACAACTTCCATCCTGGAAGGGAGAGTGGGTCACGAGGTTCCACCCCTCCCGGAGGGGTTTTTGGCAGTTAATGGTTGCTGGGAAGGAGTTTTCTTCTTTCTGTGTTGTAGTCACCGCTGAGCTGTTGCCCTTGCTGCAGTACATAGCCACCCATCCATTCTCTTACAAAGAACCTTAAGCTCGAGTGAGTGACAACAAACGGAAGAGAGAAAGGGGCGGGGATGGGCTGTTGTTGGGAAGAGGTTCGAGCAGGGGATGAAAGAGTGTTACGGAAGGAGAAAATGACCACAATGCATTGCATACACGTGTGAAACTATCAGTTAATTTAAAACTACGGCCCACCAAAGCACCCTTCTACTTCCAAAACAGACACGAGGGAGGACCCTCTTGAGGGTTAAGACTCCCCACAACGAGGTCGGTCTCGATCATCTGACGCTGCTCCCATTCTGTCAAACACGTTTCTAACTTCACACCTGGTAAAACTCCTTCTCGTCTTTCACCACCCAGCTCCAACGTCCCGCCCTCTAGGTCCGTCTTCCTCATACCTAGCAACGACTACAGTCCCACTCTCCCACGAGCGGGGTCCGCCTGCCTCAAACCTCTGCGCCCCACAAGATCGGGGGCGTCGAGCTGACTCAGTTCCTGGTCTAGCCCCAAGCCCGACGCTCGCCACGCTCTTTTTTTTTGGGGGGGGCGGTGGAGATAAATGAAAAGTCGTGGAAACGAGGAGCCGAGACCTCACGAAGCGAGCAGCGAGTGCTAAGGATTTTCACGCGCGACCCCTCCTCCCGTACAGGGTGGCTTCCCCGGCCCACGGCTGCCCATCGCACAGCCGGCCCCGCCCCTCCCGCCGGCCCCGCCCCGCCCCGCCGGCCCCGCCCCTCCCGCCGGCCCCGCCCCGCGCTCACCGTCCACAGCGTCCTCCGGATCTGCTGTCCCGCCCTGCGCGCCCCGCTCCACGAGGGGCCCGAAGAACTCGGCCACCAGCTCCTTCATCCGGGCCACGCCCGCCGCCAGGCTCTGCAGAGGGTCCGCGTCGCCCGACGCCTCACAGGACACTTGCAGCCGCCGCGGCTCCCCGTCACACCCGACGTACTCGCCCGTAAGCTCCATGGCGACCGCTTAGCTTCAACAGCGCGCCACAGAGCGCCGCCACCCGGAAGCGGAAGCCACCCCGCGGCCGGGGCGGGGCGGGAGAGGCGGGTAACAGGAATGACTTCCGATTCCCGGCACCCGCCCCGCCCATTTTCTTCCACCTCCTTCTTTGGGATTGGCTGCCTGACGCTCGGGCCCCGCCTTCCCACGACGCCCCTGGCGCTCGCTTTTCCCGCCTCCGCCAGGGCCGCGCAGCCGAGAGCTGTGACAGTTGAGGATGGCCGGAGCCGAGAGCCCCACCGGGGGCCAGGCGGAGCTGGAGCCCGTAGTGTCGCTGGTGGACGTGCTGGAGGAGGACGAGGAGCTGGAGAATGAGGCGTGCGCCGTCCTGGGCGGCAGCGACTCGGAGAAGTGCTCCTACTCGCAGGTGCGCGCGGCCGGGCCGGGCCGGGCCGGCTCCAGGACGGTCCCTCACCCCGGGCTTGCACGGCCCGGGTCCTGCTGACCTTTCTTTCTCCTTTCCTCTGCTTGTCGCCCGCGGGGCTCTCCCTCCGCCCTGGTACTCTGCAGGCTCCGGTCCTGGAGCAGCAGCAGCTCTGTCCCCCTCGCTATCGCCTCTCGGTGGCCTGGTTTCCACGAGCTCATTCTCGTGACTTTCTCAAGCCCAGATAGTCTGTGCCCCACTTCTCCCACCCTTAAACCATGCTAATTAGGCACCAGATGGGGGAAAGGAGAGCTAAAGGAAAGTGGGCTGGATTGGAAAAATCTGCCGGTGCAGTCTAGTTTAACTGCTAGCCGGTGTTTCTTTCCCCCCACGCCGGGAAAGTGTGTGTGTGTGTGTGTGTGTGTGCGCGTGTGCGTGCTGTGTGACAGAAAAAAGATCTGCCGGTGCAGTCTAGAAAGTGTGTGTGTGTGTGTGTGTGTGTGTGTGCTGTGTGACAGAAAAAAAATCTGCGGGTGCAGTCTAGTTTAACTGCTAGCCGGTGTTTCTTCCCCCCCACGCCGGGAAAGTTGTGTGTGTGTGTGTGTGTGTGTCAGAAAAAATCTGCCGGTGCAGTCTTGTTTAACTGCTAGCTGGTGCTTCTTCCCCCCCACGCCGGGAAAGTTTGTAAGTTTGTGTGTGTGTGCTGTGTGACAGACTCGTGTGTGTGTGTGTGTGTGTGTGTGTGTGTGTGTGTGCACGTGCACGCTGTGTGACAGACACCCCTTCCCTCCCTCCGGAGTAGATAGGAACCAAAACATGTGATCCTGGGAAGCCAAGAGAGTAGAAAAGGATTTGCTTGGCGTTCGTGCGACCTTGTGAACAAGAGTTTGAGGGCCAGTGATGTGGTGTTTAGTGCCGTATCTAAGTCCTCAAGTGGAGAAGGGTGGGTAGGAAGGAACTAACGGGGTGAGAATTGGTGGAAGGAAGCAAGCTAACCGTGCCCGTGGGTGGAGTGGAACACTGGGGAAGGAGGCGAGGGACTTGGATTTACTGTGTGGTGTGGGTTGAAGTCATACCATTTGTCTTCCTTAACCGACTTGGGTTTGCACTGCAAAATTGTTGGGTTGTTGAATTAAATCTTGTATCCCAGAAATAGTCGCAGACGGTCACTGGCATTTAAATAAAAGGCTCACCGCTAAAACATACCCCACTCCCTTGGAAGGAGGGAAGAAAGGTTTATTAATGCCATTATCTTCATAAAGTGGATTATGTAAAAATTTTTGTTGTTGAAGATAGGTTCTTATGTAAATCAGACTTGCCCTGAATTCCTGATTCTCCTGCCTTCACAGGTGCTGCTGGGATTGCAAGTGTGCATCATCATGCCTGGCTTAAAGTTTTGTGTTTTTGGGGGTGGGGTTTCTTGTTTTGTGTTTTGAGACGAGTCACAATGTGTGGTTCTAACTAGCCTGAAGCCCACTATGTAGACCAGTTTGGCCTTGATCACAGAGATCCACTTTATTCACAAGTGCTAGAATTAAAAGCCTGGTCTTAGGTTTGTTTTTGTTTTTAACTGTTATATCGATAAAAATACACAGTTTTTTTAAAGACTTATTTTTTAATTATTTGTGTGGGTATGTGTGTGAATGTAGGTACCAGAGGGATGTGGTTGCCCTGGAATTGGAGTTGCAGCGGGTTGTGAGTTACCCAACATGGCCACTAGGAACTCAGCAAGAGCAGTATGTTCTCTTAATCTCTGAGACGTCTCCCTAACCACAAGTTGATTCAGTAATTTTAAAAGACTTATTTACCGATGTGCGCGCGTGATGTGCGTGGGCTGGCATGTGTATCTCAACGAGCAGACATCTGAGAAAGCTCTGTGGAATCAGTTACCTACTCCACCTTTATGTGGGTTCTGGAGATGGAATGTATGTGTCCAGGCATACACAGCCAGTTTACCCACGGAGCTACCTCACTGGCCCTGCAGTTTTTGTGTTGAAGTAAAATAGAACTTTGTGTCGTTGGGCTGGCAACAGGGCTCAGTAAGGTGCTTGATGCATAAGCATGGGGACCTCATCCCACCCTGCAAACCCCATAAAAGCCAGGCATGTTGTGTGTGCTTGTACTCCCCTCTCTGGAGAGGTGTGTGCCTCCTTACCAGCATTTCTAAGTTTTAGCTGTTTTTCCTCCAACTTTCAGTTTTTGAATATTTTAAATTTACAGGTAGCTTGAAAGACTAGCATTGTGAATATCTGTATACCTTGTACATGTGTTGCATTTCAACACTTGTCTCTGTTGAATACACTTTCCCTTTTTTATTCTTCATTACTCGACAGTTAAGTAGCAGGCACCATTACACTATTCTCCTAGACATTTTCCCATTCACCTGCCTCAGATTAAAATGATTGTTTTTATGCATTGGTTTTCCTCTTTGGTGGAATTACAAGCATTTTATAAAATTAGAAATGTGATGTTACTCTCCTAAACATATGTAAACTAACCTTAATTTTCATGTATTAAATGATTAAAAATATCAACTTATTCATAGATTTAAACTTCCTATTGATATAGGAAAAAATTACATAAAAACAAGCATCGTATAGACCTGGAATTTGTAAGAGTGTTTTGGTCCTTTGTTGCATAACTACATTTTTTCTTTTTCTCCTCTTTTTTTTTTTTTTTTTTTTTTTTTTTTTTTTTGTGTGTGTGGGCTGATCATGCAGGGCTCAGTGAAGAGACAAGCACTATATGCCTGTAGTACATGCACACCGGAAGGGGAGGAGCCAGCAGGGATTTGTCTAGCTTGCAGTTATGAATGCCATGGAAGTCATAAACTGTTTGAACTATATACAAAAAGGTAAAGCAGTTTTTGCCAAATGTCTCCTGAATGTTTAAATTCTTTGCGACCACAAGCCTATTTAATCTTGCTTTTCATTCAGAGTAATTGTGTGTTGGTAAAATTTACTATGGGAGGGAATGGTTATTTCATAAAATTTAGGGTTACTAGCTCATGCTACTTGTCTTTTCTTTCCGTTATTTTATTTGTTTGGGTTTTTTTTTTTTTTTTTTTTTTTTTTTTTTTTTGTGAGAGAGTAATAAAGGGTTTTTTTTTCCTTTTTATGTAGTGATGTCCAGAATTGTAGTCTTTTGTTGGTGTTACACAAACATCAAAAAGGCCACCTTTTAGATTCTAGAAACAAGACAGAAAGTTATGATTGGTATTAAAAGAGTAGTTAATTTTAAAAGAAAACTTAAATATATGTTCTTCCTCTTTTCTTAATAGAAATTTTCGTTGTGATTGTGGAAACAGCAAGTTTAAAAATTTGGAATGCAAATTATTTCCTGTAAGTAAGCACCATGATTACAAATGTGCTTGGCAGCAGGGACTGGAGAGAGAGCAGCAGCAAAGAGCGGGTACTGATCTTTCAAGGATCCAGTTCAGTTTCCAGCATCCACAAAGACCTGTAACTCCAGCTCCAAGGGATCCGACTCTTCTGGATTCTGTAGATAACCTCAATACACACTTGCAACCTTGTGCCCACGCATGCATGTGTGCACGCTTAGACACACACACACACACATACACTCTCACATCTTTTTTTTCAAAGTGCAGTTAAGGAGCTGAGGTTGGTATTTACCAAAGTGTAAAAAAGCAAAATATTTGTTCTTGAGTATTTCACTTTTATTTGGTTGGAAAACTTAGACAGCCACTGCAGTTAACACTAAAGATCTGGGAGATAGATGCTCCTTAAGCTGATCAACCCTGCACTCTGAGGCTTTTAAGAGCAAAGCATGGAACTGGATAAGACCCTCAGTAAGACTCTTTCTGCAAAACAAAATCAAACTGTGCTTCCACAAAAGCTGTAGGGAAATTACAGATGAAAGGGAAGGGAAGGGAAGGGGAATGCCATGTTTTTCTTTAAGAATTGCTAAGATCTCCTTTATGATTAATTTTTGATACTTTTCCTCCTTTTGCCACCTGATAACCTGAAGGTCTTGGCTTTCATACCTGCCTGTAAAAAAATGTCTAGGGGGTTGGACAGCTGGCTCTGCAGCTGAGAGTATGTACTGCTTGAGTTCAATTCCCAGCACCTGTATCTGGTGGGTGACAACTGCCTGTGACTCCAGCTCTAAAGGGATCTGACTGCTTTAGCCTCTACAGGCACCTGCACTCTGCACATACCTGCATGTACCCACATGCAAACATAAGCATGTATGCAGGCACGCACACTTAAAAATAATAAAAAGTAATTTAAATTTGGCGGTGGTGGTGCTTGCCTTTGATCTCAGCACCCGAGAGGCAAAGGCAGGTAGATTCCTGTGAGTTTGAGGCCAGCCTGGTCTAAAAAGTGAGTTCTAGAACATCCAGGGCTACACAGAGAAACCCTGTCTCGGGGGGGAAAAAAGTGAAAACAAACATTGTGGCCCTTACCTGTAATCTCAGCATTGGGGAGGAAGAGGAGGCGAATCTTTGTGAGTTTAAGGCCAGCCTGTCTACATAGTGAGTTCCAGGACAGGTGAAACCCTGTCTCAAAAAAAAACCATTAGGAAAATAAAAGTGTCTTGAAATCCCTGGCCAGTGTCAATTTAAATAAGCTGACCATACACATTAATTTTGATCTCTGCTTTGTTGTGTGAGTGTATTAAATAAATTCCCCCCAGCTGCCACAAAGAACATAGAGAAAATAAAGTGTTTTTTTGTTTTTGTTTTTGTTTTTGTCTTAGCTTGAAAGAGTATTTCTGTAATAGTGAACTTCTTTCTTCTGATTTGAAAGTCTATGACTAGTTTGTAGGAAGATTCTTAATGGAGAGATTTCTTAAATGTATAAATTTTATGATGTATGAGATTGTATCTAAGACCATAATGTACACTGAACTTTATTTTCTTTCAGGACAAATCAAAGGTAAATTCTTGCAATAAGTACAATGACAACTTTTTTGGCTTATACTGCATTTGTAAGAGACCTTATCCTGACCCTGAAGATGAGGTAAGAGAATCAGAAGTTAAAAATGTGGCTCTCAAACTGCTATAGCCCTAAATTGGGGTATTGCTGTTGCTGTTTGTTTTGGATTTCTTCTTTTCATTTTAATATCATAGAAGTAAGATATTGGAAAGGGCTTTCTTGAGGCCAAAACTCCTTTCTCTCTCACTTGCCTATTCTACCCTTAGAAATTTCCTAAGAGATTAGCTTCTTTCCTCTACAGAAGAAGATACATTTGCAGACAGGTTTCTTTTTATTTTAAATAATAGTGTAAGCAAAATCCCAGGGTTATTCTGAGCATTCACTTTTGCAACTAGTTTTTCCACCAGTGTGTCATAGATCAGCTTCAGTGGCAAACAGTAGACAGATTCAGCTGGGTGTGGTAGCTGGTGCCTTCAGTTAGCACTCAGGAGATAGAGGCTGGAATAGAGTCACAAGTTCAAGGTCAGCCTGACCCACACAATGAGTTACAGGCCACCAGGGCTATACAGAGAGGCGGTGTCTCAAAAAGAAGAAATAGGAATCTGCCTTGTAGCTGCGTGGCTGCTGTAGACAGTTGGCCTGACTTCTGTGGCGGAATGGCACTGACTGAATTCACTATAAAGCTTTCAGTGAATACCTATAGGTGCATAACTATAGAGAACTCTAGGTGTTACATAAATGTGTAGCTAGAGGTAGGTCCAAGGATATTTGTATTTAAAATTGTGACCCTTTCTACCAACTACCAAAAGAATTCAGCCAGTATTTCTTCTTCTTTCTCTGTGTGTGTTTTATTTGTTTTCTTGAGATGGAGCATTTTAATGGTGAAAAAAAGTGTGTATTTAGAATTAGCCATCTGTACTCAGCTTAGATGATCCCAATTTTGTTGACAACATCCAGAGCTTTGTAGCCAGGAGCCAACCAAACATACGCCTTCTTTGCTCAGTCAGGTCTTTTCTGGGTATTGACTTTGACCACATCAGGGTCATAGAGCTTCCTCATAGCCATCTGGTTCTTGCTGGCCTTGGCATCCACAGTGAACACAAATGTATTGTCTTCAGTCTTCATGGCTGCCTCAGTGGTCGGGGAATTCGATGATGGCAGAGTGGTCAGCTTGTTTTTCCTGCCTTTTGAGGGTGTTTGGGCTGCCTCCAGAGCCACAGGGTCTTGGGCTGGGAAGGTGGGTGATGTGTGGATCTTCTGTGGCACTGGACGCCTTTCAGCACTGCCTTCTTGGCTTTCAAGGCCTTGGCTTTGTCTTCAGCTTTGGGAAGGTGGGAACTTTGTCCTTTGCTTTTGGTGCCTTCTTGGTGAAAAAGGGAAACTGGGTCTTATTACATAGCCCTGTGTGACTTCATACTTGGCTTCAAGTGCTGGGATCTCCTGGCAGTTTTTCTTACCACTCTTATCAACTCTATATTATCAACCATATGTATTACTAATCCTTTAGAATCTTGCTGTGGTGGCTCAGTGGTGGTGCTGTCAGCACTCGAGGCAGAGGCAGGTGGATCTCTGAGTCTGAGGCAGCCTGGTCTACAGATCGAGTTACAAGACAGCCAAGGCTACACAGAGAAACCCTGTCTGAGGGTGGGGGATTTTCTTTTTCCTGTTTGTGAATGAAATTGCACAACTTCCTATGAGTTAGGGATATCTGTAATCTCTGCAGTGGCTTTCCATATCCTTAATGTTTCCTTTATATACCTACTGATCTGCAAGAGTATTTGTATATGAAGAGGAATTAACTTCATCTTTCTGGCTTTTTAATCATCTGGGATGATAATTATTGAACCAAATTATATACAAGGGGAAATTAAAAGTATCTTTAACAAATATCTCTTAAAACTGGGTAATTTTAAGAATGGGGTAAGATGGGGGGCTGGAGAGATGGCTCAGAGGTTAAGAGCACTGGTTACTCTTCCAAAGGTCCTGAGTTCAATTCCCAGCAACCACATGGTGGCTCACAGCCATCTGTAATCGGGTCTGGTGCCCTCTGCTGGTGTTGAAGCAGACATGTAAGCAGAGCATTGTAAACACAGTAAATAAATCTTTAAAAAAAAAAAAAAAAAAGAATGGGGTAAGATGTTCTTTATTGCACTTTTGAAACAAGACATCCTTCCGTCCCCCCCAAAGTAATAAACAGAAAGAAAATAAAACAAAACAAAACTGCTATCTATTGAGTGTTCTTTTTATTTATTTACTTATTTTTGCCTCTTAAGAAACCACCACAGTAAAGGGACAGAAAAACATGAAGGTGTTAACTAGTTGGTATGTAAGCCTAGGATAAAAGGAAAATCATCCCCCACAGAATCTGTGTGTGATTTTCCTAGTGTTGCTTACAAAGGAACTTTGATAACTGCTTGCAAACTACTTCATGGATGGATTTCTCAGAGTTGCTAGAGAATTACTTAATATCTAGCTCTACTGTGCCCCAGAACAATCATTAACAAAGTTTTTTTTTTTTTTTGTCAGGTTCCAGATGAGATGATTCAGTGTGTGGTCTGTGAAGATTGGTTCCATGGCAGGGTAAGGAAAACTTTGACCTTTTACGATGTGTCCTATGGGGCATTATGGCACATGCTTATCATTCTGGTACTTGGTGGTGGAGGGAGAAAGATCTGGAATTCAAGGTCACCCTCAGTTACTTGAGACCATGGCTCAAAAATAAATAACTCGGGCTGAGAAATGGCTCACTGTGTTAAAGAGCACATCTTGGAAAATCCTAGTATTTGGGAGGCAGAGAGTGGCAGATCACTGTGAGCTCAAGGCCAGTCTGATTTACATAATGATTTCCAAGCCTGCCAGGACTATACAGTGAGACCCTGTCTCAAAGTAATTTTCTTCTGTTGTATTTTACCTTCCCTTTGATAAAGATGTGATCAGTGTACTTTCACAGTATCTGTTTATAAAATATCAGGCATTCTAGAGGACTTGGAGATCACAGGAAACATCTGGTTTTCTCTATCCACAGCATCTTGGTGCCATTCCCCCTGAGAGTGGGGATTTCCAAGAGATGGTGTGCCAGGCTTGTATGGAACGCTGTTCTTTCTTGTGGGCGTATGCTGCCCAGTTGGCAGGTATGTGTTTCTGTGAGGTGTTTCTGTGAGGTTGATGTGACACAAATGTGTGCTTGTGAAATGTGTGTCTTCAATCCAGGATTTCTAGCAGCTATTTTTAATTGAACTTTAGGGAGATCTAGAAAACATCCAGCTATGTCCCTTCTCCACACAGTGTTTTTAGACTGGGTGAGAACTTACCAAGAACAAATGTGAACTTGGATGCTATGATGCAGAGTATTGATACAACCAGAGTTAGAGAAAGTGCAGGAGGTAGTTATTTGCTTGGGGTCTTGAAAGATAAAATAACTAATGTTAGTAGTTAAATATAAGACATGTTTTAAAGGGTTTGGCATCATAATTCTTGGGTCATAACACATGCCTTAGGCTTTTTAATAATAGATAAATTTATACACAGTAAAAGTCAGGGTGCCAGATGTGAAGGCTGTTGTTCATACATGAGCTTTCTCTGTGTCCTCACATGAAGAGAACATACACTCGTCTCTAGGAACACTAATTGCCATTGTGAGGAAAGCACTTACGGCCTAATCACCTTTTGTGGGGTGGGAGTATTTTTGAGACAGGGTTTCTCTGTGTAGTTGTGGCTGTCCTGGAAACCACTCTGTAGACCATCCAGGCTGGCCTCCAACTCAGAGATCAGTCTGCCTCTGTCTCTGGAGTGCTGGGATTAAAGACCTGCACCATCACCTCCTGGCCCTAATCACCTTCTAAAGGCCCTACCTTTAATGCAGCTGCACTGGAGGTTAGCATACACATTTTGCAAATGTGTATTTCCCACCTGTAGCCGATGGGGAAACAGCATGTTATGTAGGCAACACACCAAGAAATGGAATAAACCTCAAGTCATCACAGTGTGCCACTTACACTGGACAAAATTCTGCTAAATTTCTTGTCCTCACTTTAAAGACATTGAAGGTAGAAGCTACAAGCAGCATGACCATGCTTAAAGTCTCTTCCTACACTAGTTGCTACAGTCACAGCTCTTTTGTTCATTCTCCTTCCAGATGCAGATGAGTTTCCTGCGGACACTAGAGCTATATCTATTTCCCACTGGGTTTTCTTTTTTGCTTTTGTCTAGTTAGTTGTTTTGTTTTGTTTGTAGTCTTGAAGATTAAGTCCATACTCTTGCCAGGCAAGAACTGTCTTCTTTCTGAGCCACCCCCAGCCCTGTCTGGTTGTTTTTCTCAGGGTCTCTCTGTTGCGCAGGCTGACCTCAACCCCTCTGGATCCTCATGGTTTCCTAGTCTTCCCCTTCCCTATTGTGTGCTTTACCCTAGATGGTGAGCCCATTACCCACTGTTAGCTCCTTTACTGTCTTTCTAGACCCATTCCCTCTGACTCCCTCCTCCCAACTAAACACATGTGTTTTCCAGAACTTTATTTTTCCTGTTTTTAGTTAAATCCCTTCCTACTGCCTGTTTCTTTAGTTAGCTTTTAACAGCTATAGTGTATTCTTTATGTATAAAGTGCTTATGCACTGACTAATATTTTTTAATGAACCATTTATTTGGGTTAGACAGATAGAATATTTAAAAGCAGTGCTAATTCCTCTCTTGTTATTACAGAGACTCCGGCTGCCTTTTTTCCTAGTCTAAGATATTTTAGCAGAATGTGATTTCTTGATGAGAGTCCAGTACAATTGTGTTGTGTTTGTTGCCTTGAACCCACAGTCACCAGAGTGTCTGCTGCTGCTGATGGGTTGCTACTGAATGTTGATGGCGTGGCTGATCAGGAGGTTATCAAGCCTGAAAATGGAGGTCACCAAGATAACACCCAAAAGGAGGATGCTCCCGAACACGGAACGAATGCTAGCAAGGAAGTTAAAGCTGAGCAGCATGATGAGCCGTGTGCCAGCTCCAGTGCTGAGTCTGACCGCCAGGTAGTGTGTGAAGTTCAAGCCACATGCGAAGTGAAACTAAGGGAAGGGTCATAGCATAGTCAGCTGAGGGCTTGGACCTGAGTTCGATCCTCAGGGACCAGGAAAAAAGGGTGGGCCTAGGCTGGGGAGGGGGCTCTAGTTCTTTAGTGCACATGTAAAAGAACAAAAACAACATGTTGGGCATGATGGCACACATCTTTGATCCTAGCACTTAGGAGACAGAGGCAGGAAGATCTGATTTTGAAGCTGGCCTGGTCTATATAGCAAGTTCCAGGTTAACCCAAGATGCATAGTGACAGCCTGCCTCAAATGACAGCAAAGCCTGATACAGTATGCACTGGTATCCTAGTGTTGGGAAGCTGGAGATGAGAGAATCCCTGGAGTTGGCTAACACATTCTAGCCAATCAGTGAGCTCCAGGTTCAGTGAGAGACCCTGTTTCAAACACTTAAGTGAGAAGTTGATTGAGGAAGACACTTGACTGTCAGTGGCAGCCTTTACACACACGTATGAGCATGCACGTGTTCACATGCGCACACAGCTGGTTAAAAGCAATGGCTGCTGTTCCAGAAGACCTGGGGTTCAATTTCCAGAACTCACATGGTAGCTTACAACTATCTGTAACTAGTCCCAGAGAATTGGATGTCCTCTTAGTCTCCATGGGTACTGGTATATACATGGTACACAGACATACATGCAGGCAAAACACAATACAAATAAGAATAAAATTTATTTTTTTAACTTAAAAGTACAGAAACTCACAGTTTAAAACGTAATTTTATTTCAGACAGTGTTTAAGAATGAAAACAAAACTGAGCTGCAGTCTTCCTGCAGACTTCAGGAGCTCCAAGCCAAGCAGTTTGTAAAGAAAGATACTGCCACCTATTGGCCCCTGAACTGGCGCAGCAAGTTGTGCACCTGCCAAGACTGCATGGTGAGTGTGGTCCACATGATGCGCACATCCTATGTGCTGCACAATTTATTCATGGATTGATAGAGGTGTAGGGGCCTCAGAGTTTCCTATAGGCCAAATATACAAAGCATACTTGTAGACCGAGCTCTTGTAGAGGAAAAACAGAATTCTATGATACTGTCTACCAGGTTTTAGTAGAAAACACCAGTTCTGTGGCTGGAGAGAGAGTTTAGTGGATAAGAGTGTTTACTGCTCTCGCAGAGGACCCAGGCTCAGTTCCCAGCAGCCTCATGCTGACTCACAAGGGTCTGTATTCCAGTTCCAGGAGATCAGATAGCTTGTGGCCTCTGTGGGCACTGCCTGCATGTAGTGCGCTGGCATGTGTACAGGCGATGACAGAAATGCTCATGCTGATAAAGTGAACTACAGAAAACCCATGTTCATAAAGTGAAATAAGAAAACCCATGTTCATAAAGTGAAATAAGAAAACCCATGTTCATAAAGTGAAATAAGAAAACCCATGTTCATAAAGTGAAATAAGAAAACCCATGTTCATAAAGTGAAATAAGAAAACCCATGTTCATAAAGTGAAATAAGAAAACCCATGTTCATAAAGTGAAATAAGAAAACCCATGTTCATAAAGTGAAATAAGAAAACCCATGTTCATAAAGTGAAATAAGAAAACCCATGTTCATAAAGTGAAATAAGAAAACCCATGTTCATAAAGTGAAATAAGAAAACCCATGTTCATAAAGTGAAATAAGAAAACCCATGTTCATAAAGTGAAATACAGGAAACCTATGTTCATAAAGTGAAATAAGAAAACCCATGTTCATAAAGTGAAATAAAACCCATGTTCATAAAGTGAAATACAGGAAACCCATGTTCATAAAGTGAAATAAAACCCTCAGTTCTTTCCTTTGTATCGTATAATTGCTCAAAAACCCAAGAGCTTGAAAACTGGTAAACTAGTAAGATTGTAAATTCAGACTGCACAGACCTGATGTCCTGTGGAAGATTTCTGAAAAAGATCCCATCCAAAAGTATAAATTCACCAGGCAACTCCGAAACTTACAGTTTTCTAGGTGTGAATTTAGAGATGAATAAAGTTGTTAGCTCTTCTCCAGAGTTTGGCTCTCTGAAATGACATTGTAATGGGGAGACTGATTTTTTTTTTTTTTTTTAAAGAAAATGTATGGAGAACTAGACGTCCTGTTCCTGACAGATGAGTGTGATACAGTTTTGGCTTATGAGAACAAAGGCAGGAGTGCGCAGGCAGCTGATAGAAGGGACCCTTTAATGGACACCCTGAACAGCATGGACAGAGTCCAGCAAGTGGAGCTTATTTGTGGTGAGTGCTGTTTGTAACATTTCCTTCACTGCAGGAAACTGTGTGAAGATAGTAAATTAGGATTATATAGTAGACCTTTAGCTAGTTTCACTTTTAATAATAGTTTTAATAATAGTTATAGTTGCTATTACCAGCGGCTTACGAGCACTTAATGTTAGAATAATGTTTAAGACCACCGTGTAGCCAGGTCGTCTGGCTCACCTTTAATCCCAGCTCTAGGGGAGATAGATGGAGGATCTCTGTGAATTTGAGGCCAGCTTGGTCTATATTGTGAGCTTCAGGATAGCCAGTCCTATGTAGAGAGACTGTCTCAAGGAAGTAAGGGAGGGATGGGGGAAAGGAAGGCAGGCAAGCTACAACATGTACTATTTTAATTAAGGGTAGCTACCTGAACACAGGATAATAGAAAGGTGTTTCATCCTTTTAAAGTAGTTTTCATTGAACTGTACCCTTGGGAAGTGTGACAGCTCTTGAAGAGTTCTCCCAGGTTTGCTTGAATGATTCATAGAAAGCCTTTAGATGGGCAAATATTCTTGGGCCCAGCATGCTCTGGTGATACCAGTGGTTCAGTCTTGGCCACTGTCCACCTGGAGTCCGTGGCCTTGTGCCCCTTCATAATACCGATCATTTCCCTTTGATTTGTAACCAGTTATCTTTTTGCCTTTATTAGACTCAAAACTTTTATATTTTTTCTTAGTCAGTATACAAGCAATAGGCTTCAATATGATATTTTCATATGCATGTATCACTGTGCTTGGGTGTATTTGTGTGTTTGAGAGAGAGACAGATAGAGACCCAGAGAGCCTGAGACCAAGACTAAAGGCTTCTTCAGTGACAGGGGCTGTGTTGAAGAGGTTCTTCAGCTGTGCTGGCACATGTGAATTTGAGTGAGCACATGATTTAAACCTGGCTCATGAGTCGAGGGTTGCTGGAGGGCTTAATGATTGCCGAGGATAGGGAGCCCTTTACAGTGCTGGGACTAAATGTGTGTACCACCATTGCCCATGTTAAACATAAAGCCCAGAGTTGAGATAAATGGGAAGAAGTTTCTCTGCGTTTTAACTAAGAAAACACCCATGTTAAACTCTTAACAAACTTGCCTATCAATGGCAGATGTTGAGTTTTTAAAGTGTAAGGCGTATCTGAACTTGTTGTTGTTTGATTTAGAATACAATGACTTGAAGACTGAACTTAAAGACTATCTGAAGAGATTTGCTGATGAAGGCACGGTATGTTGAGTTAAAGAACCTTAGTCATAGCTTTGTAAGTTTGAAATAAAATTGTGCAACCTAAATTAAGTACTGGGATTTAAAAAAAAACAAACACAAAAACTTTTTTGCTTGTATTTTAAAACAGTGTGGCCTTATCTGGCTTCAGATTCTCCAGCTGTCTCTCAGTCTCCCAAATGCTGGAATCACAAGGGTATATGCCCATTCCTGACTGAGTAGCAGAAGTTTAATGGAAAAACTACTTGTTGGTAGGCCAAGGAAGGATCTGTAAGGACAGAGAAACATCAGGGGTCCTTACTATCCCTGAATGTGGGCAGAACAGTCACTCAGGGACTGGCAAGCGATTGCAATGGAGTATTAGAAGGATTCTGTTGATACAGACTGTTGGGTGGGGGATGGGAAGGTGACTGGGCAGAAACACTTGAAAAGGATTCAGAGAGGCCCAGAGTTAGGACTCTTCCAGTGGGCTGAAGATTATCTTACTTACTAAGTCTATACTTGTTGTGTTTTAAAGATCTTATTTATTTTTATTTTATGTGTTTGAGTGTTTGCCTCCTTGTATGAATGTGTACCACATGCATGCTGGTCCCCAAGGAGGCCACATGAGGGAGTTGGATGCCCTGGAACTGGAATTGTAAGTTGCCACATGGGTGCTGGGAACCAAGCCCAGGTCCTTTGCAAGAGCAGCCAGTGCTGTTACTGAAGCGTCAGCCGCAGCCTATACCTTTAAACATGACTACATGGTGCATAATGCTGTAAAACAGAGTTCTGGATAAATTATGGGTTCTCCCTGGTGTTCACTATTCAAGTGTATGACAGAGCTTTGCCTCTGGCCTGAAGCTGTTTTGTAAGTGGTGGTTAGGGGTTTGTCTTGCTTTGGATCAAGGTAGCTGGTTGCAGCCTTTGGGGTACACTGCTGCCACCCTTTTGGAATCAGTCCTGGTCCTTGTGGATGAGGGAGTCATGCTTCTGGATTTCTAGATAGGAGCTGTGATGCTGCTTCTGTAAAATGAGTTGTGATGGCAGATGCTAAGAGTCTTGTCCCAAATGGTTCAGGTTTTGTTGTTGAGACAGTCTCACTGTGTAGTGGTGGCTAGCCTGGAACTCTCTTGGTAGATCAGGCTGGCCTTGAATTCACAGAGTTCCACTTGTTTCGGCTTTAGTGCTCAGCTCCGTTTTCTTGGTGTTTTAAGCCAGCCCTTCTTGCCCACACCCTGTGGGTTACGGCTGTGCTTTCTTCCTTTGCTGCAGTCTCTACTTGAGCAGCTTCCTGCTAGAAGTGAGATGTGTCATGGGTCCAGTGGGGCTTTGGTCTCCTGTGCAACCTCTGCCTCTTCAGATTCTCAGGATGTTTTAGAGAGCTGGGTCACTGTCTGACTCTGATGTTGTTTGTGGTCACCATGCTCTGTACTAATTTTATCGTGCGGCTGTGGAGGTGACTTTGGAGTTGACTTTGCAGGAAAGAGCTTGTGCTATGCACTCCCATGGACCTGAGCTGGGTATGACCGCACCCTGTAACCCAGTGCAGGGCAGCAGTCAGAGACGGAAGGATTGCCGGGCCTTCCTGGCCACCGTCTAGCTCCAGCTTCAGTAAGAGGTCTTGCCTCAAGGGAATAGTGGTATAGCAGATTCCTACAGCCTCCTAGGGCTTCTATTTGCGTGTATACGCCCCCACTTTCTCAAATCACATTAGAAAAAAAAGAGATAACATCTTTTTCAGTTTACAGTTTGAAACTATTTTATACAGAGAAAATTTTGTATCTGATGTGATAATTTAAAAGTACAGAAAAGTATAATTTTAAAAATTATTTGTTGCCGGCCAGGTGTGGTGGTAAATATCTTTAATTCCAGTGCCTGGGAGGCAGAGGCAGGTAGATCTCTGTTAGTGGGTTCCAGGACAGCCAAAGCTACGTAATGAGATTCTGTCTCTAAAGGGGTAAACAGTTATATGGGGGGGGGGGTGGTGGTTGGAGAGATGGCTCAGCAGTTAGGAAGGCTGCTCTTCCAGAGGATCTAGGTTTGATTCTTAACACCCACATGGCAGGCAGCTTATAACTGTCTGTAACTCCAGTTCTAGGAGATCCAACACCTTCTGGCTTCTGTGGGCACTGAACACACATGATGCATAGACATACATGCAAGCAAATCACCCATACACATAAAATAATATTGCTTTTTTAATTGTTTGGGTGGCTAGTGCGATGGCTCAGGGGATAAGGGCCCCTGCCACCAGGCTTGACAACCTGGGTTTGTTCCTGGGACCCACATGGTGGATGGAGAGAACTGACTCCTGAAAGTTGTCCTGTGACCGCTGTACACATGCTTCCCTGTGGTAAATATATAAACTCTGATGTGTGTGGGCTTAGGTCTCCTACCACAGTACTTGGTGATAGATAATATTTTCTTTCTTTGGCTGTTTCTCTGTATAGCCTTTATTGTCCGGGAACTCGCTCTGTAGACCAGGCTGGCCTTGAACTCATGGAGATCTACCTGCCTCTGCCTCCTAAATATTGGGATCAAAGGCAATCACCACCACCGCCTGCCTGATAATATTCCCCTTCACAACTTGTTGTCAATGTTTGTAACCCAAGGTCAAGACAAATCCTTTTGCTCTTGTGAGTTCAAGTGCTCTCCTATTCCTTGGCCTCCCTGCCCAGCCATCCTGCTACCGATAAGCATATGTATTCCTTTGTATTTAAAAACAGACTAAGGAACCTGAATCTTGTGATGGCTGCAGTAGACTCAGTTTACCTTATTTTGATCCATGTGTTTTCTTGGTCTTATTTTTTTTGTTAGTATTACTGACACCTTTGTATTTGCTGCTTTAAATCCATTGCCCATAGCTTAATTGCCCATTGCCTCCATAATTGACTTGGGTTTTGAGGGTTTTTTTCCCCCAACCATTTTTCTGTTGATACAGTAGTAGCTGTATTAATTTTAGACTCATAAGACACAAGTTTTTTCCCCCTTTGTTTTTTTTTTTTCTTTTTTCTTTCTTTTTTTCCTTTAAGGAAAGATATTCTCTCCAATCAGTGCAGAAGAAAGCACAAATTTGTTAGGCATGGTGGTACGAATTCCCAGAATTCGGGAGGCAGAGGCAGGTTATCTCGTTGTGTTCTGAGCCAGTCAGGGTTATATAGTGAGACCCTCTATCAGATAAAACAAGAAAGCACACATCTTGAGCAGGGCAGATGCTGTCTTCCGGTGCTGTGCGATGAGCACATGCAGTGAGTGACAGTAGGCCTCTGGGTCATGTGTGTCAGGGCCGTCATGGCTCAGCTCTTACTAAGAATGTACCATGAGCTTCTTTGACTGAGGCTCGGCTGGCCTCCCAGCTGCCCTGTCAGATGGCTGGAGATGCTGGGGTAGGTGGTGCAAGCTGAGGTTTGAGGCCTTATGTCCTGCTTCCTGGATGTGTGACTGGGTGGTCAGCCTGCAGAAAGATGCCATTAACTACACTCTAAGATGCACAGGCCTCTGTTGAGTGTAGTTTGACTTTGGATTTGTCCCACTACTGTGAAAGGAAAGCAGCCACTTAGTAAAGACTCCTTCAAGTTGTAACTCTGTCACTCTAGTCAGTGATCACTGACTAGACTGTGATCTGCATGCATACCGTGTTCCCCCCTCTCGTGCTCGCTAGCTTAGGTGCCTACAGAATGGTTTCAAATGGCAGTGAGCTTATCCACATGTAACCCTGTGGTGTGTGGACGGGGTGCCTACAGTTCTCTCTTGTTTTGTTCTTGTGGTTTTGAAACTGGGTTTCCTTATGTAGCCCAGGCAAGCCTTGACCTTGTGTTTGTCTTCCTGCTCTAGGATTACTGACTGCCACTCGGCAGGCTTTTCTGGTTCTGGAATTAACTGGTGGGCTATTTTGCTGGCTTGTGAGCGCTCTGACCGTTTGTTGCTATTGCAGAACGTGCTCCCTTTCAAACCTTGACTTTTCATCAACAGGTCGTTAAGAGAGAGGACATTCAGCAGTTCTTTGAAGAATTTCAGTCTAAGAAGAGAAGGAGAGTGGATGGGCTGCAGTATTACTGCAGCTAGTGGGGAGTGCCATGCTCCCTCATTGAGTGCCACTGTTCCGGAATAGAGAGACCTGTGTCACACTCGCTTCCCTTTCCATCCTCCTGTGGCCTCAAGCTGCCATCTCCTCAACAGTCGCTGCAGGGTTTATGCTGGCGTCTCAACAGCATCATTGATGACTCAGCTAGACGCACTTCATTCCACAGACTTCAGCTTTCCTGTCCAGATACCCAGGGGTTTTGCTTATGTGTTAAGAACTTTGATTTGATCTTCAGAAAGCAAATTGGTTTCTTTTTTCGGCAGTGTGTTCCATAACTCCCAAATGTGTGTCACAGGGCTGTTGCCTCTTGGGTCCTCTGGGTCCTCTCTGTCTTGCAGGTTCTCTTCCTGTCATCCTGAACCTCTGGGGGACCATCCCTCTGTCCCCTGGGTCACGGCTGGGTCACGGCTGGGTCACGGCTGGGTCACGGCTTCCTCAAGCCTGCTCTTTGAGTTCTCACTACTCCCTGAGGTCTGGCCTGGCCTGAGGGGTTGGGAACTTTCTCTGGACCAGGCTCCAGAGCACGGCATCCATGTTCTGGTACTGATGTCTGCTGTGGACAGGGAGGTAGACTCATGGCAGGACTGAGGAAGCAAGCCTTTGTTCTGAATTTTGCTGATGAATTTAAAGTGAAATTTCACCACCATTCTTCTGGCACTCAGACATCAGCGTTAGCACTGTAAATGTTCCCAGGGCTTCCGGGGAATCTACCCATATCTGAATTCCTTTGCTGCTGCCGAAAATGACCAGATCCCACCACGTGACATGTGGGTGCTTTCCAGAGTCCTCTGGTTTCTTACATTATCAGGGATATGCATACGCATATATTAAAAAATGGACCTATTTTGATACAACTCTGTTAGGAAAATGTTATTGGAACCTCAGTAAGTTATTTTTCCTGAATCTGTGCTGAAGGCAAAGACACTGACTGACCTTAGTGGGGCAGTGACGCTGCCCTGAGAGACAGACGGAAGATTCCAGAAGAGCCCACAGCCACACAGAATGCCGGGGTTTTGTGTGGAAACAGTGTGCATAGCTCCTCCCCTCCTGAAGTCTGAAGAGCCTCATGGATTGTTGTTTAAAACTCCATGTTTGAGGGAAGTTTTTGGAATGGTGTGAAATCTTTTGAAAGTTCTCTAAGTCTATGTGGAAAACATCTTTTGATCTAGAAAGCCCCAAGCTGCCCCCTTGAGAGGAACAAGGTCTTTGCTAGCACACTGGGGTCCATACATTAAAGGCATTTTAGGCCACATGTTGGTGTGGGTATTTTTGTGTATGTGCAGCAGTTGTATGCATGAATGCTCACCAGTTCCTGACGAGACGCAGGGACCTACAAATGAGGAAATGGCATGGCTCCAGTGCTGTAGCCTGTAGCCTCCTAATGACAGACCCTGTGAAAACTGGTATGTGGAGCTGGGAAGTTTCCCGGCTGTAGGCAATGCCTGTGTGCACTGAGCTGGCTTCCTGGAGAGGGCTCAGTTAAAAACCTCAGGTGCCTACAGCCTGGGGATCTTCCAAATCTGAGGGTATTTTGAACTTGAGAGTTGCACTTTCCATGTTCCATCATGTCCTCAAAGTTTATAGCTTCCCAGGTATCCCGACTTACTACCAAAATGTTCCTGTCTGCCTGTGGCAGGTCAGAACCAAGGCTCAGCAGCAGCTGTAGTGAGCAGCAGCGATAGAGACACCCAGTCCTGAGGGCTTGTCCAAGAAAGGCTCTCCTCTTAACCAGAGAACCTCTTTTTGTACCTGTTCACAACTAATTTTCTTACTGACTTGGGCTGTCTCTTCTCATAGAGATGGTTTGGGCCAACATGTGGCAGTTGATATCAATGCATGTTTTATGCAAAAACAAAAATGTGATACTAGTTACTTTTAAGGAATTTTGGCATTGTATGTACATTTTTGTAGAAATTACTACTGGATTTAACATATTTCAATCAGGTTTCTGTAAAATCCAAATTAAACCAGTTTAAATAGTTGATTGTTCTTGGTCCTGTTTTTTGTTGTTGTTTGTTTCTGATTCTTTCTGTTCCTGTTTAAATCTACCCTGCCTCTATCTGCTGGTGGTAAGAAACTGAGCTAGAATTTCTGCCCATAGCTTTCCTTCTGTGGGTCCTTCTTCAAAATTGAAGGCAGTTTATTCTGTCCCTACTTGTCTATAAAATGGGTCCTGGGTCTGGGGGAACAGCTCAGCAGGGCCAAAAGAGTTTGCTACCCAAATGTGTTCTGAGTTCAAATCCCCCAAATTTCAGTATGGATGTGCTCTCATGTCTAGCTCCAGCACAGTGGGTGGTGGAAAGGAAGGTTGTAGGGGCCACCCGCCTAGGTCCAAGCTCAGTGGTGGACCTTGTCACAGAGAGCGACAGCAGAATGCTCTGCCCACAGTGCGTTAGGTGAATGAAGTCCTCTCTCTGTCCTTGAGCTGCTTCCCTAGCTAACACCGTGATGAAAGCGTCCTCGGTGCCAGGAAAACTGTGGTTCTCATCCTTTAGAGGACTCTGGAGGAGCAGAAGGGGCCAGTCAAAGAAGTGTTCTAGTCAGTCGGGCCTGTGGAAGGTCAGTAATGTCTGGGGAACCAACCTGGCAGAATTCCCAGAGCCAGCAGGACTCTTATAATCATGTCAGCTTGAAGCTGACACTTGATGGCTTTTTTTTTTTTTTTTTTTTTTTTTTTTTTACCAGTAAGCTATATAGCAGCCCCTGTCATTGTAATAGCCCAGAGGAGGATCCAGTTCAGTTCCAACTTGTTTTCTGTTTCTTTCGACCAAAACGTGCAGGGACGCTCCCTTGGTTTGGTAAATTAATTTAGACTTACATAAAAGAATTTGGATTCTTTTCCAACATCCAGCCCATTCCAGGGAAGTTTTTCTAAACGTCATGGGCAGCCTGGTTCCAGCCTAGCTTTCCCGTGTGATATTACAGGGACAGGAGGTGATCTCACAGGGAAACCCAGGGCTTTCCTTTGTCCACTGGCAACATCACACAGAACACACAAGGCACATGGCAGGAGGGCCGAGGACACGTGGACTTGGGTCAGGTGGGGTGAGAGGGAGGGGTCTCTGCTTCCACCAGCCAGCTTGAGGACAGACACAGCCCCCTGCAGGACTAGTGCTCCAGACTCAGATGCAGCCACATCAGACCATATTTAGCCACATGAAGGTGAGGGAGGGTGAAAGGGCTTGGGCAGGCGCCAGAGAGCAAACCAACATGGAAGGATGAGCTAGGGAAAATGGCTAATGAGATGGGGGAAAAGACAGGATAATGTCACAGAGCTGTGGGTGTCATGGTGTCTGGTGGCAGGCAGGGGTTAGAGGGAAAAGGCCTGTTGAGATTTTGTAATCTCCAAGCTCATAAGAAATAAGAGTAAGAGCTAAGGTAGATAGTCTTCCATGCTCTCTGACAAGCTGGCTGAATGCTGTGGTCTTCTCTGGGTCACATGAGCACCTGCTCTAAAGCTCCAGACAAAAACCTGCTGGCAGAGCCTCCTTAGCCGTCTATCCCAAGGCAGGTGTGGTGCTCAGGGCAAGAGTGCTGTGGGATGTCTTTGTACATGCTGTGAATATGTGTTGCTCTCATTGGTTGATATATAAAGCTGCTTTGGCCTATGGTGAGACAGGATAGAGCGAGGTGGGAAATCCAAGCAGAGATACAGGAAAAGAAGGGCAGAGTCTGGGAGAGACAGCCAGCCACCAAGGAAGCAAGACATGTAAAAAATGAGGTAACAAGCCACGGACCATATGGCAAAGTGTAGATTGAAAAATATGGGTTAACTTAAATGTAAGAGCTAGCTAAGAATAAGCCGGATCCATCTGCCAAGCATTTATAAGTAATATTAAGCCTCTGAGTGGTTATTCGTTGGGCAGGAGAGAAACCTCTGTTTATACAGGAAGGCTCCCAACTGGCATGGGTTGGGCCCAGAGCAATTAAGAGTGTGGTAGGGCAGAGGACAGATTTGGGAGGTAGGGTGCATGGTAAAGAGAGGTAAGACACAATAATGACACTGGGAAGTAACTCTGGAAGCACCAGGGGAGGACAGTGGCAGGATTGTTGGACCAGACACTCATGGGAGCCATAGCGTGGGTAGACCGTGAGAAGTAGGAACCGTGAGAAGGCAGGTTGGAGTATATAAGAGGGGAGTAACACTGGAGGAAGACGGGATTGGCCATAGACCCAAAAAGGCATTGGTTTCCCCCAAAGATCAGGGAGTGAGGATTGAGCTAGATGCTACACAGGTTGAGGCTCTTCACTAGGTTGAGTGATGTTCTACTTCTGGGGCTTCCTACCATAGCTGGGCCCAGCACATGAGACAGATGTGTCTAACAGTTGTAGTTCAAAGGCCAGAGACAGGAAGTGTCTGACAACTGTGGGTAGGTTGTCCTGGAGGGAACAGGAAGAGGATGGAGGCCAGAGCTCCACAGAAATATGGAGAGTATTAAACGGAGAACTTGAGAAGGCATCACTGCCAGGAGGAGCGGTTTGTTTGAAAGAAAATGGCTCCCAAAGGGAGTGGCACTATTAGGAGGTGTGGCCTTGTTGGAGTAGGTGTGGTCTTGTTGGAGGAAGCGTGTCACTGTGGAGGCGGGCTTTGAGGTCTCATACATGCTCAAGCCATATTCAGGGAGCCAGACCACTTCCTGTTGCCTGCTAAACAAGATGTAGGACACTCGTCTACTTCTCCAGCACCATGTTGCACCATGATAATAACGTAATCCTCTGAAAATGTAAGCCATCCAAATTAAATGTTTTTCCTTTATAAGAGTTGCCATGGTCATGGTGTCTCTTCACAGCAATAGAAATTCTAAGAGAAGTGGGCTGAGAGCAGGAGGGAGTGGCGAATTGGGAAAGGAGCCTTATTAAAGCTGATCCATGGGCTGGAGAGATGGCTCAGTGGTTAAGAACATTAGCTGGTCTTCCAGAGGTCCTGAGTTCAATTCTCAACAATCACATGATGGCTCACAACCATCTGTAATGAGATCTGGCGCCCTCTGCTGGCCTGAAGGCAGACATACAGACAGAACGCTATATACAGAATCAATCTCAAAAAAAAAAAAAAAAAAAAAAAGCTGCTGTGGCCAATAGTGCTTGGAATGTGAGGTCAAGAGAGAGGCTGAAGCCTGGTCGTCACTATATGAAGGAAGTGGCAGTGGCAGGGTAGGGGAGATGATTGTAAATAAGTAGGACTACAAGGTGTGTGATAGTTAAAGATGCTGACATCACCAGCTGCCCTTCCTGTATCCCAGTTGGAAGGAAGCACAAGAAAGTCCACTCCCTGGAGACATGGGACCATGACCTCAGCTAGGGCAAGAGGCAGATGGAAGGCTGGAGAGGCTGGAGAGGCTGGAAGACTGAGGCGGGGGTAGGAGGGATGGAGGATTTGACCAGAATCTGGTCTCTTCAAGAGAGCAAGAATGACAAGCACAAGGGTCAGCTGATTACAGGGTGCCAAGAACATAATACCAGATACCCTGAGGGGTGTCAGGAGCCTCTCTGGGGTCATCCACTCCCCAACTAACCAGGGAAATCTCAAGGTCTTTGGTAGGTCTATCAGAACAGTTGTTTTCACTCTCAAAGTTCTGGGAGACATTCATATCTAATAGAAGGTTCCAGAAATAGAAGATATTTATGTAGCTGGAGAGATTGAAGGGTGAGAAATTTCAGGAGAGTGCAGTAGGCTCCCCTTGGCTTCTGCAGCAGTTCTATGAGGCAGGAGTGAGGGAAGTGTCCGTTCTCCTGAGGATGGGGTAAGACAGTTTATCATGAAGGGTGAGTTGAAGGTCATGAGACCCATATGTCAAGTCCATAACCAGTGCCCTGTAAGTAAATCACATCAGGGATGAGGAAGCTGGGGTTGGGGGGCTTAGTCCTAGATATCATGATGAGTATGCAGCAGAGAAAGTGTCCTGTAAGGGTTCTCCGATGGACCTCATCTATGGGGGCTTTTCTTCCTCAAGAGTTTCCTGGCCTCACCTTCCTCCCAGCTCTGACACAATCCAGCAGTGGCCCCTAGCATACTAGCATACCATACTTCATGGGTGCAGTTCCCCACCGTTTTGAGATGTCACTATAGCCCTAAATCTGAGGCTGTCCCCAGCATGTGGCTCAGGCTGCTGGGAGACCTCACAAGAGGATTAGCAACGTATGACTGAGGGAGTGGGCAGGCTGGAATGTAAGCCTGGGTGAGGCTCCTAATAAATCCCAGTGACATAGTCAGTGTCAGATCATTTGGAACGTTCGGTAGTAAGTACCAGTTTGGCAGAAAAGGAAGGGCAGAACCCTGCAACCTACTTTTACCCTTTATATCAGAGTACATCTCTCAAATCCGCACGAGTAGAGGAAACTACCAGAAGACTTGCGGAGAGGAGTCTGGGGACTTCGTATGTGTGGCCCATGGGAGTATCCAGGAATGCAGCAAGCTACTGGCAGTCTAGATAGGATGGCTAAGCAAAAGTACCCAAACCCTAGTTCTCAAATAATTTGGCTCTGTATTTGTAGTAGGAGATGGTTGTGGTACCTTGCTTATACGAATAAAGCCTGCCTGAAGAGCAGAGAGGATGGAGCTCGGCACTAACCAACCGTAGAGGTCTGGAGGTCTGTATGGACAGGCAGGAAGAGGGATGGCTGGGTGGAGAGACAATATAAGCAAGAAGAAACAGGAATTCGCTCTCTTGTCTGCTGGGGCAACGTTAGGCAGGGTGAAGGTGTGGCTGTGGTTTGCTCCTACTCTGATCTCTCAGCATTTCCTCTATGTCTGACTCCAGGTTTTTATTATTTAGACAAATTAAGGACACTTAAAGATGGTAGACTGGAAACTAAGGACCAGCGATGTGCCAGGCATCTGGTACAAGGGACAGTAACATAGGGACATGGTCAAGTCGCCTCAAATACTTAGGTTTCTGGTCAGAGATGAGGGCTGCTATCAGTTACTACAGAGATCCATGATTGCTCAGAGTGCTGAGAACCAGTGTCTGTTGAGT